TGAGGAATTCGTAGACAGCCGCTTTGATACAACCCTGGATTACCTCATGTCCAAGCTAGAGTTACTTGTCTAAGAAGCTAACCCGACTCATTTGAACAATATGAATTTTTGGCCAAGTATACTGACGAGTTTGGGTAGCCTACTTTGGGAGCTTGGTTCTTCCAATTGGGTTGGTGGAAATATGAGTTTAAGGTGTTGTTTTGAAGCTGGAGTTCCGCTCTACAAGTTGGGGTGGTTGGAAGCTCGAGGGGAAGCTCAGAAGACCATTTACAAGGGTCAACAAAATGCTTCCTCAACACTGAAAAACATGCATAATTTGTCTAAGTATAAAACTGAGTTCAGGGAGGCTACTTTGAAGCTCTATTTCCAGGAAGATGATTTGGAATCAAGGAAGGAGCTTCATACTACATGGAAGTATGTATGTTTTTCAACATAGGCAAGGCATTGGCTGAGGAAATGGAAACCTGGAAGGTTGTGAACAAGGGAGCCCAAAGATGCTATGGAACCTGTTTCGAGAGGCAGCTTACTTGAGCTAGAAGAAAGGGAAGTTTGGACGAGTTTGGATTCCTTTTCCAGTTTGGATTTTTACCTTAATTGTAGTATAGTCTAATTATGTTTCCTCGTTCGTTTTGTAGTTGAATTAGGTTTAAAGTTTGTCTATTTAAGGCCTAGAAACTCCAGTGTAATAGATAGACGTTGTTAATCAAAGAACCTTTATTCATTGAGTGTTTATGATCGTGAATTGTCCTTGTTACGTGGATTGATTTCCAGTGACGAGCGAGCTCATTATCGATTGAGTCACCACCTCAATCGTGGTCGAGTTGCGACTTTGTTTGGATCGAGCCTCTTCCCCAAATTGTGTGTTGAAGTTGCACCTTCCAAATCCTCATTTTACCCTGTTCTTCCTTGTTCTTTCATTTTTCATTCAACAAGCTTGAAGTATTGGGGAATTGCGAGCTTTGATTAGCAAGCTTCATGAGTTGGAGCTTATCACGCTTGAAACCTGATCTTGTTAGGGCTATCGGAGAACAGCCTTGTGTTTATTTGCCCCTTTTTCTGTTTGCTCTCTCCTCCTTGCTTCTTACTTGAAGCTTGTCAGTCCAAATGATCACCTCACAGGATGTTCTGGTCTTTTGCATTTTACAGGGATAAGGTCTTTGAACAACAAATGATTTTGTATCCTTTTTCCCACAAAATGTTTCATTCAATCTTCGATTTTTGGATACCTGCATACTTATTTTCATTGGAACAACTATTTTCTAGCTCGAATTTGCGGAGAAACATTGAGAATTTGGAGAAGAATAGTGTTACCAGTCTAAGGACACTGGTGAACCTTGGGTCTGAAGTTTACGTGCAAGCATATGTGTAAGTGCTTAATGACTCAAAATGCTCCTTTCTTTCTGCTAATGTACATTGTGTTTTCATGGGCTCTCTTTTCTTCCGAAGATCGACGTTTTTTGTCGGTATTTTTCTAATGAGTCCTAAGCTATGCCTCTAATAAGAATTACGCAGCTCGAATCAAATTGTGTATGGGTTGGTTTCGAAGGGAAAACAGAGGGTGTTCTGGTGAAGGGGATAAACCAAACTAGCAACATTAACACAAGGGAAAGAGGCTGGTTTTGGGTAGAATAACGCCACGAGATCGATGATGGAAAGTCGATCGCTAGGTCTGCAAGTCTGGGACGGAAATCCAAGACCAAACTCAAGCAATCTAGCTCAAGGGAACTCCTCGGAGTATATTTATTTCAATCGACTTAAACGTGAATTACAACTCAAAGTAAGAGCTATTTATAGCCAACTAAACCTATTACAATCCTAAGAGAACAAGGAAAGAAACAAACAAAAATCCTACTCAAACAAGGTGAAAAATCGACCCAAACTTCCTTTTCTTCAAGCACAAGTAAATTGCCTTCTTGCACAGGCAAGCTGCTGGAAATCAAGCTTCGTAGCATCTTCAAGCTCTTCGTTGAAAGCCTTCTAGGTAAGCTTTCCTTCAGTCAATGCCCTGTCTATGTAGAGTAACAAACTTAATGTCATGTGGTGTCAAGCCCCGAATTGTGATATCATCCCTGCTCCTCTGGTTGAGCTCCAAAGTAGGCAGCTGGAACACTTTTCCTGCCTTAGCCAAAGACAGACAATTTTCATATTGCAGGATAGGGTTTTGAGAAGCTTGAAATCCAATCCTCCTAGCTTACTTTCCACAATCCAAGTGCACCAAGATGTAGAGTAACACCTAAGCTTCAAAACAAGCGCTTGAACTTGCATTTTCATTAAACCAATTGGGAGAACCAAGCATCCAAAGTAAGGTTCCCGGAACTGTTCCAACATTTAGAAAATTTCCATCTTTGTTCTCGTTAACTTGAATCAATCTTTGAACGATTAATTGGAACTTGAACCTGTCCAAATTGTGATCATATCAGTTTCGCAGGACGGATACCCAATGCATGTTTATCGATGTGGGGTTGGGATTCCATGTGGAGTTTACCTGGTCAGAAGCTTTGAACTATATCACGCTAAGGGAGGAAAAGATCTCCAGGTTTGTGTTCTCTTTCGGAACTTGCTATAGTTCCTAATAGTAATGTTTATAAGGGTGCAATTAACTTCTATCTGTTCTTGACACAATCTGCATAATCTACAACCAAGATTTTTTCTTCATAAATGATGCTTACATGTTTGAATATCATGGTGCAGGCAAATAGAGGATTATACGCGCCAAATCGCATAAATTAAGACCAAGATAAAGCTGGTACGTATTTTTTTAACTTCTCCTCTATCATAGAGTGTAATATTTTGCAAGATATTGGTACCGCAATGCCAGATGGTCTAGTTTGTCTAGGACTTTGCTTAGCTTTTCCTTTGGTACTGTATTTATGAATAGAAGGTGAAAGGCCCTCCCTAACTGTGGTCATGTAGAAGAGGAGATTATTAGCCTAGTATGGACTAAAGTTAAGGGGAATCAACAAAGAAACTTTTGCAGATGAAAATGTGAAGTGAATCATTGTTTGAAAACCCGGGTCGCGTTACTTTGTGATTGATGCAAACTTTTCTGATGATACCTTTTGGTTCTTTTTTGGGAAACAGGTTTACAAAGGTATTCGAGAATTGTTGGAACTTCCGGCAGAGAAACCTCTGCCACAACACATCTTCTAACCTTGCATTTCCAAGTCTTCAGGACTTGGTATGCACTGCAAATAGCATGCTGTCTCCCCGTAAGAGATGACTAATGAACAAACTTCAACTTGAACTAACTAAACATTTCTCAGCTTTTTTCAGTTTTCTATAGAGGTTTGTTCCATTTTTTAGCTTAAATTAAAGTTGGGATAACAATTTTGACTAGATCCAAAATGTGTTCTAGTCTGTTACATGTTGATACTTTTCATGAATTGGCTTCAATCTAACATGACATAGTCCCAACAACATCTTATATGATTCGTATATTCAGCCTCATTGTCATTTCTAGTTAAAACTCGAAAGTATATGCAACAAGATGGGACCATTGAAGTTAGATCCTTCAAATTCTATGATCTCGATCAGAGGCCTAAACAAATGAACCTAGGAATGTACCATCACCCATGTAGAGATTTAGGGGGTGCAAAGGGCCTTGAGATAATGTGCGAAGCAATGTATTATCATGTGGAGTTGCAACTTGATTCCAAGATAGCAATCGCACTACTGCAGAACACCACACCGTCGCGGTTATAAAGCCACAACTAGGAATTTTAACTAAGGATCCGATTTTTATTTCTGAGAACGAATCTATAGAGCCAAAGAGAGAGCAAGTGAGAACGGTAAAATCCTAGTTGAATTCCAATTTGGATGAGTTGAGTTCTTATTTCTATGATCGTCGGTGGCGCAACAATGCTTGAGGTGATGTTGGATGCTCTTGGTCTTGAGTACTCATAGAGAGTTGATAGAACGGCCACTTGTCTTTGTCCTTCTTTTCTAGCCATTATTGGTGTTGAAGAAGTTGAAGATGCTTATTCTTCCTCAAAATCAAAGTGATCTTCGTCAATGTTGTATTCCTCTTCCAAGGGTTGGTCAAAATTAGTGGGGATTGAGGGCTCTTCTTCTTTTTGTTCTCCCCAGTTAGATGTTCATTCCTTCATCTTCAATATGGGTGAACTTGATGCTCCTCCTTCTTGACCTATCTCTTCCACGATATAAGGGGTTTTCTTTGTCTTCTAGTACTTAGTGGACTCATATGAAAACCTACAAAACAACAAAGACTTAATACGAAACATAAGATTGTTAGATGCTTTTATATATGATTATTAACCCCGACAACGGTGCCAAAAAAATTGATACAGAAACAAGTGATAAACCCTAGGAGACCCTAGGATCATATTCATTGAGATCTTCCTATGAATAATTACTCACACCAACCATCTATGATCAATCCTCCCGTGCTCATGTAGCATCAATGCGATATCCTTAAATAATAATCTCTTGACAATCTAGGCAATACTAAGCATAATGCATATAGTAACATAAAATAGAATCATTAGCATCAACAATAAAGAAGCATTCATACTATAGAAACATCAATGACTATCAGATAAGCATTGAAACTAAAAGTAATGATGATATAGAAGCATGCATATAGTAGCTATTAGTTTCAACACTTATTTGATGGTCATTGATGTTTGTATAGTATGAATGCTTCTTTATCATTGATGCTTATGATTCTATTGTATGATATTATATGCATTGTGCTTAGTATTAACTAGGTTTTCAAGAAATTACCATCTAGGGTCGACTGATGCTACACGAGTATGGATGGAATGATCAACCATCTATGCTTCGAGTAATATCAATGCTCGATTTACGAAATGCTATTGGATCAAATGACAAAGGCATTGTTGAGAAAAAGGTGGCTTTTCCCGGATGAAATGAAAACTGGATTCATGGAATAGGAGAAAGGTTTCCCATTCCTTAGCCTAAAAGATATGTGGCCATGAAATAGGGATTAAGTGGAACAGAATTGATTGGGTGTCAGAGTCATGGAAACACCTATTTCTTCCATATTTTGGACATGGAACAATATGTTACTGCTGAAACTTGGAAGAATGGAAATCTTAGATCAAAACACTTTGTATGGATGGTATGAACGGCCTAAAAAAGATTTCTTGAACAGTGAGCAACTAGAGCTATTACCCTCTACATAAAAAAAAATCAATTAATGAAAGCTGGAAATCCATTGGAAAATAAAAAGGACGTATGTCGGATGAAATGGTGGCCGAGCCTCTCTCCGAGACAGTGCCCATATTGTTACACCTTTCGTGCGGGTCGGAACTTACCCAACATGGAATTTCGCTACCTTAGGACCGTTATAGTTATGACCGCCGTTCACCGGGGCTTTGGTCGTCCTCTTCCCTGTCATTATGCCCCCAACTTCCTTGACCTTCCGACACTGGGCAGGCGTCAACCCCCATACATGGTCTTAGGACTTTGCGGAGACCTATGTTTTTGGTAAATAGTCGCCCGGGCCTGGTCACTGCAACCACCCATGGTTATATGCTTCAATAGGAATTACACATGATACAATAGAAACCTTTGGTAAACTGCCCGCCCGTAACCCAACAGATTAACAGATTAAGTACATTACATAGTCCGTTTTAGGGATTGGCGACTTACCCATTCATTGAGATCTGTGGCATTCCAGCCTTACTTCTCCTTTCAAGGCCCTTCTCCAACCCTTATTGCGCAACCTGAGATCGGACAGCTAATGCATTCCACTTATTTATTGAACATGGTTCTATGGTTGGTCTGCGACCCCTGGAGTAGATCCTAAAAAGATTCCACTTCCTCATGAATTTATCTTAAACCGGGATCTTTTGGCTCAACTGTATCCCAGTTTTGCTCGTATTTCATCTAGAAAATCTCCTAATTGTTCCAGAGCAACTAGAACGAGGATAATGTATTGGCAAGAATGTTAGAACATAAAGAAGCTATCATATCCCATTTAAGTTGGGCCAGCCTCTTTCTGGGATTCCATACTTTGGGACTTTATGTTCATAATGATGTCATGCTTGCTTTCGGGACTCCGGAAAAACAAATCTTGATTGAACCCATATTTGCCCAATGGATTCAATCTGCTCATGGTAAAACTTCATATGGGTTCGATGTACTTTTATCTTCAACGAATAGTGATAGTCTCTTGTACCTGAATCGGTGGCTCACTTTTTCTAAGAAATAGGGAAGAGGACCGAAACATGCCACTGAAAGACTCTACTAAGACAAAGATGGATTGTCAAGAATGTAGAGGAGGTAGGATGGGCAGTTGGTGAGATCTAGTATGGATCGTACATGGACGATAGTTGGAGTCAGCGGCTCTCCTAGGGTTCCCTCATCTGGGATCCCTGGGGAAGAGGATCAAGTTGCCCCTTGCGAACAGCTTGATGCACTATCTCCCTTCAACCCTTTAGCGAAATGCGGCAAAAGGAAGAAAAATCCATGGTTCGACCCCATCGTCTCCACCCCGTATGAACTACGAGATCACCCCAAGGACGCCTTCGGCATCCAGGGGTCGCGGACCGACCATAGAACCCTGTTCAATAAATAAGTGGAACGCATTAGCTGTCCGCTCTCAGGTTGGGCAGTAAGGGTCGGAGAAGGGCAATTACTCATTCTTAAAAGCAGTTTTCTCATTGATTTCGATGCTATAGACTATAGTTATGGTTCGTAGAAGCCCATAATTAAGTGTATGCTATCCAAACTTACTTGTTCTTCATTGTTAGGTAATGACATGAAACGAAACACATATTAGCTAGTTAAATATCTATCGCAAGAGGCACATGCATGGGTAGAGAGTGGTCTTAGAGGAAGGGATAGGGTATTACAATAGATGCACCATCGATGCATGATATGAATGATCCCTGGTTTACATTATCATCTTTGAAATTACAATCTAGTATAATAACGTATCTTTACTTCATGCATCTATAAATAACAAACCCTAAAAAGTTTATCATTCTTTTTTGTTTGTTTGTTTGTTCAATTCGTGTATGTGTTGATGGATGGTGTGAGTAGTTATGCATTAGAAGACCTCGAGGAATATGACCCTATGCACATTTAGGATTATCACTTGCATAAATTCCACATCAATATATAAATACAAACACAAGGTGATGAGATAATCTCACATTATTTATCTAAGCAATTGAATAACCATGAATTATATAAAATATGTTTCCATAAGACAATGGACGGAACAACAATGATCTTGGATTAAAGAGAAAGAAAATGTGAGGCAATAAGTGGTTTCATAATTCTGTGTTAGTTGATGAAGGGTAGAGATGTGTCAAACATAGAAATGATAATTTTAGACATTGTGGCAAAAAGAAAAAGTGATAGTCTAACGTCGAGTACTTTATACGAGAGTGCAACACCAAATTAGCACTAAATTGAGTGGCACCTTGATGATTACGAATATGGTTGGTGAAGTTTGAAAAGAAAGTTTTGAATCCAGAATGTCTCAGTGGAAGTGTGAGCAAGTGTGTGATACTCACCTTCAATACTTCAGCGAATCACAGTTTCTATTATTGAGACTTCCATGAGAATAGACTAACATCAATATAAAGAAGAATGTCGGTAGTAGATATGTATCATCAACATCCCTTGCCCATTTGAAATCATAGTAGGCAATAAGCTGCAACAAAGAGGAAGCTAGTGGGAGAAGAAGTGGTCCCTTTCATGTAGCGCATCACACCTTCAATTATTGGCAATGGTAGTGCTCGAGAGCATGCATTTGTTGACTGAGCTTGTTGATGGAATAAGCCACGCATGCCTTCTGTAGACCAAATATTGAAGGTCATCATTCACTGCCGAAAGATGGTAGAATCAATAGTAAGGGAGTATCTTTGAATACTAAAAAAGGTTAAAGTTTGCTTCCTATTTCTTTCACAAGTTTAGGTAATTTGTCTTTCAAATAATAAATTTAGTGGTTTTGTTGAGCGATTTTGACACATTACTTAAACCATTTTGTTTAAGGATGAAATTTAAAGACGACCATACATTGAAAAAAATTCAATCATCTTTTTCTCTTCTTCTCACAATCTCCCCAGCCCCATTTTGCTTATCCATTTCCTGTAAATTAGAAATCTCTAAAACTAGACATTAAATTATTTTGATGGGTGTTAGAGCTTATCCTTGAGGAAGCTCACTACTGAAAAAAATTAACTATTCGTTTGCTTTATGTATTTAAAAATTGAGGTTTTTGGTAAAAATTGAATTTTGGAAAATCGTAAATTTATGATGGAGATATTATGAATTTGAACAAGTCTATTGCTTGCTTGTTGGATTTTATTGTAGATTCTACTTGATTATATTTGTAGGTATGTTGCCTTGTTACCCTTATTTAATTATATTTCTACTACAATCCAATGCCACCTCTTTGCCTGCTACTTTGTGAACTAATTCAACTACATATATATGAATGTATCACAGTTTGACACTAATTAACAGCTAATTTAGTAATATACACAAAGAAAAATCTGACAGTTGAATCCAATGCCACCTCATTCTTTTTGCATTCTCCATTGCTTTCTCCTTCATCCTACACCTCATGTGTTGTTTCTCACCTTCTTCTAGAAGTGACAGAGAGAACATGCTAGACATGATATATCTCCTTTCCGACAATTCTCCTCCAACCTTATGTTTTGTAGAAGTTGTTGTAAGTATTCAATAAGGTTTTATCAATTAAGAAAAGTAAAAAGGATAGCAGGATAAAAGAGAAACATTGCTTTATCTGAGGCCAATGGACTCCTGGAATTATTTCCGAGGATTTGGGCAGACAAGCTTTGTTGATTTGGTTGCGTCTCGCTAACGTGCCACTAGAGTATGTGAATTTTCATTGATTAATTTGAATTGGTAGCTGGGTGGGTGGAGTCGATCAATCAACTAGATTGGGAGAAAGGCTGGGTCATGCTAAAGTACTAGTGGAATAGCAGGCTACAAATGAATTTCCTGACCATGTGATGTTGTGGCCAGATGAAGAGGATTCTTTAAAAATTGGTGTCCAGTATTGCCCCTTGCCGCCGGTTTATCTAGAATGTAAGTTGTTTTCATTGGAATGTGGATGTGTTGAGCAAGAAAGGAAATTTGGGTGTCTAAGAATGGATATGTAGTAGAAAGTCAGTCTCTAGTTGGTGAGAAGGGCAAGAAAGTTATGATTGTTTCAGATGATCCATTATTGGATGTTATGGTTGGTAAGAAAGTTAACGGGGTTAGTCTTATTGAAAATAGTAAGATTTGGGAAGAAGCTATATCAGTTGTGAAAACTCCTATATAAGGAGGCGAAGTCCTCCTAGCAAAAGACCTCTTTTCCCCTTGCTCCGTTTGACCACATAAAGTCTCTCTCTCTCTCTCTCTCTCTCTCTCTCTAAATTCTACTCTCTACTTAACATACTACATCCATATCTTGTACTAAGTTGGGCGTCCGAGTCTAGATTACGGGGGCCACCCAATCTCTCCGCAGGTTCTTCCACTCCCGAAGAGTTCAAACAAGGGAGTTCAAATCAGAGCCCATACTTATTATTAGCAATTGGGTCGCACGATCTAGGTCAAAACATTCTGGTATACTTTAGAAAACTTGTGGTAAGCTTTATGAGTTTTGTGGTGTGGTGAACTTCTCGTATGCTTGACTCGCTCAGAACTACACTGCAAATTAATCCCGACTAGAGCCCAAGTTTTAAAACTCTAGCCGGGTGCAGTATAGGCGATAGACCGTTATTTACACATGTTTTTACCCCTGTTCTTACACCGTTTGAGGTGTTGATTCTCGTGTTTTAGGCCGATTTCACGCTAGGTTGTGCTTGTTTGTGATATTTCAGGTCCTAGTACGTGAATGAAGGCTTAGGAGCGAGTTTGGGGTCGATTGGACGAAGATCGGACGCATGGTGAGGTTCTAAGGAAGCCACACGGGCAGTCCTGGGTATCACACGGCCGTGCAAAGTGCACTTGTGTCCGTGTGACTTTCGCCGAGAGCAAACACGGGCAGAGCAGGAAATCCACACGGCCGTGCGACCCTGACCGTGTGGGATGGCTGAAGATCGACCTAATTGATACGGCGCGTTTTGACTCACACGGGCAAATGGGTGAGCCACACGGCCGTGTGGCCTGCCCGTGTGAGTCGGGAAATTCTGGTTTTTCAGCCAATTTCGAGCAAAAAGTGGGAGAATCGGATTTTGAGAGCAAAAACAGAGCCCTAGAGAGAGAAAGTACGAAGAACACATCCTAGAAGCTATCTTGGAGCTGGGTTTCATCGAATCGAGCTTGGAGATCGTCATAGGAGTGGAAATCATCATCCCGGAGCAGATTTTCCTCATCATTATGAGTATGACTACTCCGATTACTGTTTTCTTCTCTCTCTCTATGGAGTAGAACCTTCCTCTCACTTGGGTATGAAGAACCCTAGTTCCTTGTGTTAGGGATTTGATTGTAATGACTTGGGATGATTTTACTGTTTGATTTTAA